AAAAAAAAAAAAAAAAAAAAAAAAAAAAAAAAAAAAAAAGCAGAGGGGGGTGTGTTTCTACATACATAATACATACATTCCTAAACCCTAAATTATTTTATAATATATATTTATATATTTATTTTTATATATTTATGTTTATATATTTATATATATTTATATATTTATAGAGTAAGAGAAAAACACCACCACCACCTGTGTGCTGCTGCATGCATGCAGCAGCACACGGTGTATATAGACATATTGCTATAGGTATTGAAAGCTATTATGTATATATAAATAAAAACAAAATAAAAAATAAAATAAAATAAAATAAAAAAAAGAGAGACAGAGAGAAAGACATACAAACACAGCCACGAGCTGTATATACACCAGAGCAGAAACGGATGGAACTGAGTGATGCTGGGGTGTATAGGCAGCTTATTTTGTTGCTAATTTATTAAAAAATATATTTATTAAATTAAAATATATTTATTTATATAAAAAAAGCAAAAAAAAACAAAAAAAAACAACAGAGTAGCAGCACAAGGAGAGAAACAGCTACCGCCCGCCCCCCTGCTGGTGTTTCCGCTGTAGTGTATTCATATTTTTGTTTTTTTTTGTTTTATCTTTGAATAAATTTAATTATTTTTAGTTTATTTATTTAAATTTATTTTATTTTTTTCTCAAAAAGAAAAAAAAATGAGGAGTATAGCCTTGCGGCTGCTCGCTCCGGCGGTCGTTGCTGCTGCTCTGCTTCATGGTGATGGTGGGTTTCTGTGTTTATTTTTTTATTTTTTTATTTTTATTTTATTTATTTATATCTATTTATTTTATTTTATTGTGTTTTTCCTCTTTATTTGCGTCTAAATGCTGCTGCTTTCTCCCCCCTGCTCTCAGCTGTATGCAGCAACCATGAACACGTATTTTCAGGTGTATAGGCAGCTCCAATTCAACTTTTTAAACTGCTGCAGACTTACCTCTTTGCTTTCTTGCTGCTGCAGCTGCAGCAGCAGCAGCAGCAATCCTCAACAAACGCACGCAGCCTGCTGCTGCTGCTGCTGCTGCAGCTGCTGCTGCTGTGTTGCTGCTGCTGCCAAACTTGTACACAAAAGACAAAGCGAGACGCAGCTGGAGAACCTTAATTGAATGCAACTGTTGTGCTGCTGCTGCTGCTGCTGCTGTTGCTGCTGCTGCTGCTGTTGCTGCTGCTGTGTTGTTTTTTGTGTATACTTGCAGCTGCATACTATACGCATGCATCAGAGGATACCGAAGCAGCAGCAGCAGTTGCTGCTGGTGGAGATGAAGCAGAGCCAGCAACAGCAGCAGATGCAGCAAGTGGAGCAACAGCAGCAGGATCAACAGTAGCAGCAGCAGCAGCAGCAGCAACAGCAACAGAAACAGCAGCAGAAGATAAATCTATACAAGAAACAACAGACACAACAGCCAAAGGAATACTAGAAAAGCTGAAGCAGTTCCCCGGCCTCGGCGAGCATGGAGCCGGGCTGCTGCAGCTAGCTGAGGAGGGGCTCGGTATACAGGCCAGCAAGTGGGAGCTCAAGAAGATGGTGCCGATGCTCCTAGACCTACAAAAGAACGTTCATGAACACTATAGTATGTGTTTGTTTTATTTTATTTTATTTTGTTT